CAAGAGAGAAAAAAAGCAGCAAAGCTAAGCTGAAGAAAAATGCTTCTCTCTCCATCAAGAACCTTAAACCAAAAAGCTGATCTGCTCATACCTCCAGGCCTCAGACTGGTCCTCACAAAAATGGGCAATACAAACAGTAACACACATACAAGGCTGTGATCCAAACAAAAATCTTGGACCCTGTTCCAGAAAAAGTATTATAGTCCTTCTGGGATCACTATGTAACACAAACTATGGCAACTAAGAATTGACAGGCAAACACAAATATGGCCAGACAAATGCACGGCCCATTCATAGTGCAGATCTTACACTCACACAAACACACACAATACCAAAGGAGTATCACACTATCCTAATATGGCTCGGGATTTCTCAGTGTATGTGTGTGTGTGTATGATTAGCACATTAAAGGCTTTAACACTGATATAACTTTAGCTGAATAGAAAATAGCGCACTCTGTAGCCTATATTTGTACTGAAAATAAAAAAGTGGCAGACAGTTCAGTATATCTGATAAGTTCTGTTTTTAGAATATGATTGAAGTACTAAACATAAACACTAGTTTTGTCACATCAAAAATAATCACAAAACAAACAGAAGACTATTGGTTTGGACACAACAATGCATCCAGCTTAAACCACCAGGTTGCGATGAAGCAAACGTTTCACAAATCACAAAATCAAAGCTTATGAAATGGCAAATATTATAGTGTAAAATATATAGTGTAAAAAATTCCAGTCTAGGTTAGATCAGTCCACATCCCAGCGTTTGTGATTTACATAAAATGTAAAGCATTAATAAAATATTTCCAAACCTTCTTCTCTTGAATTGTGTTAGAAAGACGAGAAAACCTGGTTGGAAAACAGCCCACGGCCTTAAAGGAATAGTACACCCAAAACATGATTAGCCTTCATTTTCTACTCACCCCCATGCTGAACAACACCCTGGAGTACTTTTTTGATATCTAAAATGCATCTGGAGATCTGGGAGGCTTCTTGCTGTCTGCTGACATTCAAATAATGGAGGTCTATGGTGCCCGAGACAGAAAGGTCCATAAAAAACGTGTCAATATTCCTCCATACTGCTTGTCCAATGTATTCCAAGTGTCCT